GGTAAAAAAAATAAATTCAAATTTAACTTCCTTTCAATTTATTTCCTTTGGTTTCTAGCAGAAGCAGAACCCATGGCTGCTGAGCCTGTGGGTGGAGCATTGATTGGCCGGCGCAAGGAGCAGGATCTTCTTCTGTCACCTATAGATGGAGATATGATGTGTTTTTTAGCTTTCAAGCGGCAGATACTTGCTTGAATTTTGTCAGTCATCTCCACGAGTCTTTTCGTCGAAGTGGGATTCGTGTCTTCAGTGATTATGAATCCCTCATTGCCGGCAAAGACATCCAACGGTCTCTTTTCGAACCCATCAAGGAATCCAGGATAGCCATCATAGTTTTCTCCAAAAACTATGCAACCTCAGCTTTCTGTCTGGATGAACTTGTCCAGATTGTTGAGTGTTTCAAAGAAGAAAGTCGGTTGGTGTATCCAGTGTTTTATCATGTGAATCCCTCACATGTGCGACATCAGACAGGGAGTTACGGACAGGCTTTGGCTGATCTGCAGAACAGATTGGGAATAAACGATGAGAGGTTGCAGAACTGGAGGTGGACTTTGACTCAGGCAGCTGACTTGTCAAGCTGGCATTTTCAACCTGGGTATCCCCTCTTTTTCTTATTGTTATTTTCCATCCAATTTTTTAGATTTTTATAGTAAGTAATATATTTTCTATTAACTGTAACCCAAGTTAAAAATGTGCTCCTTACAAAATATGCTTATTTTTAATTATTTATATTAGAAATGAGCTTGTGTCTTACAACTACAGGGAAGGAAGGCGAAAATGTTTTAATTTCTCGACGACATGGAACCATGTTTTATATCTTTAAACTTATTATTCGTAATTGTGGATTTGTGTATCTCAAAAATTGTTTGTTTATTTTATCCTCATTCTCATTCCATTTCATTCTATAATTGGCCCACCAATATATTTTTGGTTTGAACAAAGGATAAATTTTTATGGGCAGGATTATTGAAGAACAAAAGCTTATTAAAACGATTACTCGTGATGTCTCTGCCAAGATTAATCGCACTCTTTTCGAAGTTGCCGATTATCCAGTTGCCCTTGAGTCTCGGAGAAAAGAAGTAATCTCACTTCTAGATCTTGAGTCCGACAAAAACCCGCTGATGATTGGAATTTGTGGCATTGGAGGGGTAGGTAAATCGACAATTGCAAGAGCTGTGTATAAGTGTATAACTCAATTGCTGATAATTTTGATGGTTTATGTTTTCTTTCAACGGTTAGAGAAATTTCTAACAAGCATGGCTTGTCACATCTTCAAGAGACATTACTTCTTAAATTGGTGAGGGAGAAGGAACTCAAATTGGGTGATGTCTATGAGGGAATTCCAATAATAAAGAATAGGCTCCAAAACAAGAAGATTCTTTTAATTCTTGATGATGTTGACAAAGTGGAGCAATTACGAGCATTAGCTGGAAAATGTGAGTGGTTTGGCCTTGGAAGTAGAATCATTATCACGACAAGGGATAAACAGTTGCTAGCAAGTTGTGGAATTCAAAGAATTTATGTTATCAAGGGAGTAAATGCTGATGTGAACACTGAAGAGGAACCAGTGAAAATTGAAGATGGAACCCAGGAGCTTTCTGTCAGTAAGAAGAAAGAAAAGAATGGGAAGAGGAAAGGGAAGGAGAAGAATGAAGAGGATGCAGATGCAGCTTAGGACCATGATACTGGAGTTGAGGGAAACGAAAAGAAGAAGAAAAGGAAGGAATCTAGTGAGAATGGTGAATTGAATGGAGGCAATGATGCGGATCGGGGAGAAAAGAAGAAAAAGAGGAAAAAGCATGCTGAGCAAGAAGAATCAGCCGAAATGGCCAAGAAAAAGAAAAACAAAAAGAAGAAAGTGGAGGATCAATAGGGATTGAATTTGTCGTTATCAGCTAATTCATCTGCTGGTAACAATCAGTTTTGGATATCTCAGGCAACTTGGTGCTTAATTTTATGCAAATATATCCTCATGTCTAATTGTTTGTTTTCTCTTCTCATGGAGTATGTTGTATTTCAGGAAATTTTGATGCTGTGATATTTGTGCATGTTAAAGATGCTGCTGGTTCTAAACTTCCAGATTTTTCAATTTTTTCTTTCATAATCACGGCACATGATTTTGCTAACTTATTGAGCATGTAACTTTTCATTCATGTGAATGCAATAGATTACTGAGGTGATCTATCTCTTTAAAATGTTGATCGCCTACTCAATTTCCAATCTATGCCATGCCTGCTTCTGCCCCCTTATATAAATACTTATAAGCATGTTTTGTATAAGTTGAGGCAAGTTTTTTTACATAGTTACATCGTACATTGTAATTCATGGTTAAAAATTTATTTATAAATCATTTCAAATAAGCTTTCAGATATATGCATGGTATATGTTTTTTGATTGGAATGGTATGTCTTTTTATTTAAAGTTTACCCAACCAAGCTGGGCATTTGTTTTGAGGGGTGTCAGCGTATGTGTGTCACTTTTCTACCCTTCCAACATCTTTGCTTTGAAACTGTTAGGTCGGAATATACAAGAGGAAATTCAGAGTAAAGACTGGACAAGCTGGAGTTTCAAATAGCATTACAAATTTAAATTTAATTATATAAAATAATTCTCTTTCTACAAGTACAAAATAACACTTGATCATTGTTATAAAAATCGTGATTCACAAGCAGGTGGTATTGTGATCCCACTGACTAGTTTCTGGTTAACTCGGACATGAAAACGGGGGTGCATGGACTCATATTGAACTTGAATCAAATAAAATAAAAATAAAAATTTTATGAAAAGAAGCATAAAATTATTAAATTTCAAATAAAAAATTTCTACAAAATATGTTTTTATTTACAAGTACAGTGTTGCTAAAACCTATTACAGTGTAAGCATGTAAAAATAGTTTTATTTGGACTTATGAGAGGTTTTTTTTTTTTTTTTCAAATCATTGTAAGGGGTTACCAAGCTCCAAAATCAAATCAAAATATATACAATGAATTAGCGAATTTCTTCATCAATTGGCCACTACTGGTAAGGTTTTACGGGTCCTTTCGTCATTTTAAGTCATCACTTCAGTGATTTTTCCAAATTCTTTAGTATGCTGTTTGGCTTGGCACTATGATATTTTAGCTTTCTTTCTATCTTTCTTTTATAATATCTTGTCTTTTTTAATTTTATTTTTAGGAATTCTTTTGCTGACATTCGATTTGTAATTATTATATTACTTATTATAATAATCAGGGGTAATTTTAAAAAAAATTCAATTTTTTTATTTTATTTCATACGCATCTAATAAAATTTTATTTTTGAGTTAAACTATCTAAATTATCAACGTCGAAATTAAAATCTAGTGACGGTAATTAAAGCAAGCGCACGGAATCATTATCCATGCGGTTCATTTTGGGATGTGTAAAATACATCGGGTCATTTCTATTGTTTAAAAAAAAAAAAGAATACAAGGGGTCTCCTATAATGGAATTTTTTTTATTTCGTTGACATTATAATGAGATGTTCTTTTGCTGTTGTACGATTCATTTGTTCAATACAATAATTTAGCAAGTTTAAATTATGTTATTTTGTGTTATTTACATTGAATTATTAGTATGTTCTAAAATATTTGTTGGAAAATCATATTTATTTTGAATTATATTATAAAATTTTATTTTGAGTTTTGATCACATTTATTAAACTTATTTTATGTGATAAATAAATTCGAAGCTTTTTTAATAATTAATCAATACCTTCATATATGAGCTTCATAAAAATTTCTATATTGAATAGGATATGGGTTAATATGTAACTTTGTCTTAAAAATTTTTATTCAGGAGTGTTAGGCATTCAAAAAAATTTTTAGGCACAAATTTATCCCAGAAATTCACAATCATAACAATGTTACTCTATATTGTTGAAAATGTTGACGAAAGAGTTCACTTGTGTGATTTAACATGTTAATATCTAATTTTTCCAAACAAATCACCAAGTGGCATTTTAAAATTTAAGTGAAAAGACAGAATGCCGCCGTTGCCGATAAGCTGCCAATGTCAAAGCTCCGGGAATGGGAAGAGGGCTTTTTGTTTTTTATTTTTTAACCAATGAAGGTGGAATTTGATTCCACTACCACTTGGGTATTTTGAAATTAAAGATAACCATTAAAGTACAAATATTTTTGTTATTAAAATAATGCAAAATAATATATATGCTAACTACTTAACTTTGAGCATATGTTATTCGCAGCTTTTGCACAGATATTAATTATATTTTATTAACTATTAATAACTTTTATTTAGCAAATAATAATGTTACCCTTTCATTTCATTCACAATTTTTGCATAGGTGTTAATTGCATTTCATTAGTTATTAACAATTTTTATGTAACAAATAACAATATTACTCTCCCATCTAGTAACTTCTGTTTAGAACAATTTATTACTTGTTGAACAAAAGTTATTAAACTAATAAAATACAGTCAACACTTATTTGTTTTATTTGACCAACCAATTAATATCTAAATAAAAGTTGTGAATAAGTTGAAAGAGTAATCTTGTTACTTACTAAATGAAAATCGTTAATAATTAATAAAATGTACTTAGTACCTATACAAAATGTGCCAATTATATGAATTCAAATTAGTTAATATATATGTTATTTTGCATCCTTTTGATAACAACTTTAATGGCTGAATCTTAATTTTAATAACAACTACAGCCCGCTTACCGATGGAGCCATGGACTATGGTTTCTGAGATTTAGTACTAGTCATTTTCACTAAATTTAATTTTGTAATCTTATTTTATTTTAATAACTAATATACGATTGACATATTTAGGTCAATCTTTGAAATTTATTTGTGTACTTGTTTTGATAGATGACAATGCTTATATGTCAACCCATCAATATCATGCCCAACCAAATCAATAAATTTTTGTTGACTTCGCTGTACAGTGGTTATTACAAGAAATGAGAATTTGTCTCTCACTCCACATCCTCTCCTCTGATCGTATACAAGAAACCATGGCTGCTGAGCTTGTGGGTGGAGCATTTCTCTCTGCTGCTCTTCAAGTCGCTTTTCAAAGGCTGGCTTCTTCTGACGTCACTCACTACTTCCGACCAAGAAACCTCAAGGATAGCGTGCTCAAGAAGCTTCACATCACCCTCATTTCTGTGAATCAAGTGCTTGATGGTGCAGAAGCAAGGCAGTACACAAACCCAAATGTGAACAAGTGGCTTCACGAGCTCAGGCATGCGGTGTATGTCGCGGATGACCTCTTAGATGAGATTGCTACTGAGGCAACCAGGCTGAAGATCAAAACTGAGAGTCAATCTGCTACCAGTAATGTACGAGGCATCTTTACTTCTTTTGTTAATCAGTTTGAAAAACACATCGAAGAAAGAATCCAGAAAGTGCTTGATGAACTGGAGTTCCTTGCAAAACAAAAGGATGCGCTGGGATTGAAGAAAGGCTCTGGTAGTGATAGTGAAGCTGGAGTTGGTGTTAAACTATCCGCCAGACTGCCAACTGCATCTTTGGTTGTTGGTGAGTCCAGTATATATGGTAGAGATAGTGACAGAGAAAAAATAATTGAGCTTTTACTTGATGAGGATCTGAGTATGAACCCACTATCTGTGATTTCTGTTGTGGGTATGGGTGGACTGGGTTAGACCCTCTTACTCAGCTAGTGTACAATAATGTAAGGATAGAGGATCAGTTTCAACTCAAAGCTTGGGTATGTATTTCAGAAGAATTTGATGTTGTTAGAATCACAAAAACAATACTTTCCGCATTTGAATGTTTCGTAACTGGATATGAAGACCTAAATCAGCTTCAGCTGAAATTGAAGGAGAAATTGGTGGGGAGGAAATTTTTGCTAGTTCTTGATGATATTTGGAATGAGCGCCAATCTGATTGGGAAGCTTTGCAAGTTCCTTTTTTCTATGGGACATCAGGAAGTAAGATCATTGTTAAAACACGTAGTGAAAAAGTAGCACTAGTTGTCTGCTCTAGTAGAGTATACCGCTTGGCCTTATTAAATGAAGAAGATGGTTGGAAATTATTTGCAGAATATGCATTTAGAAATAAGGATGACAGCATGAGGACAGATCTTGAATCAATAGGTAAAATGATTGTCCAAAAGTGCAAAGGGTTGCCTTTAGCTATAAAAACATTGGGTGGCCTCTTGCACACGAAATCATCAGAGAAACAATGGAATGAAATCCTTAATTGTGAGATATGGCAGTTGTCAGATGATGAGAGCGATATAATGCCAGCTTTAAGATTAAGCTACCATTACCTTCCTTCTTATTTAAAGCGGTGTTTTGCATTTTGTTCTATATTTCTAAAAGACTATCCAATTGAGAAGGACTCTCTAATCCTCATGTGGATGGCCGAAGATTTGTTGCATTGCCATCAAGGAAATAAAAATGTGGAAGAAATGGGAATTCAAATCTTGGCTGAACTGGAATCAAGGTCATTTCTCCAAAAGTCAACAACGCATAATGCGTATATCATGCATGATCTTGTAAATGATTTTGCAAAATCAACATCTGGACAGTTTTGTTTAAGGATTGAGGATGGTAATGTGCGAAACATTCATAAAAATGTTCGCTACTGTTCATACTCAGCTTCACGTGATAGCAGTGAAATATTACTAGAGCCTTTTCATGAGTGTAAACAATTACGATGTTTTGTGTCATTAAAACGAGTACCATTCTCCATTAAGGAGGGTAAGGATGAGGGTAAAATATTATCCAAATTTAAGCACTTGAGAATTTTGAGTTTGAGAAGCATTAAAACTATTACTAAATTAAGTGTTGGCATGAACAACTCCAAGCACCTCCGTTATTTAGACCTTTCTGACACCAGATTTGATCAAGTACCAGATTCAATTTGTAAAATGTACAATTTGCAAACTTTGAAATTGTGTGGGTGCATTCAGCTTGTTGAGTTACCTCTGGAATTGGACAAGTTGGTGAATCTGCATTATCTAGACCTTTCTAAAACTATGATCAGCAAGTTACCCGATTCACTCTGTAAACTGCCTAATTTGCAAACATAGAAATTGCAGGCGTGTCAATCTTTGGTTGAGTTGCCACCGGATTTGCACAACCTTATCAATCTTTGTCACCTTGATATAAGTTGGAGTAGTATAAGGGAGATGCCAAACAACATGGGAAGGTTAAAACATCTTCAAATATTGACTGGTTTTTATGTGGGAAGACACAATTGGTCTAATTTGAAGGAGTTAGGGAAACTCATTTATCTTCGAGGCAGTCTTGAGGTTTCAAAATTAGAAAATGTCAATGATCCAATAGTTGCTAGGGAGGCCTGTATGAAGGATAAGAAGTACTTATATAAATTGGGACTGCAATGGAGTGGAAACAATGAGGATTCACAGAATGAAAGGTTCACCTTGGAAGGTCTCCAGCCTCATGTGAACTTGAAAGAGCTCACTATTAGAAACTATGGTGGCACAAGATTTCCAGATTGGTTTGATGCTCCTTATTTGCCTAATTTAGTATCTCTTGTGTTGCGGGCATGTAAATATTGTTTTTGTTTGGCGTCACTTGGGCAACTACCCTCTCTCAGGTCGGTTGATATTTCTAAATTAGAGGGAATAAAGGAGATTGGGTTAGAGTTTTATGGGAATAATAATTTGTCATGGGCTCCATTCCCATCTCTTGTAAATTTGTTTATTGCTGAAATGATGGAATGGGAAGAATGGATGCATTTTGAAGGTGAATGCTTCCCCTGCCTTAAAGAGATTGTTCTACGATATTGTCCCAGGTTAAGAAAGTCACTTCCTCCACACCTGCCATGTTTAGAAAAGCTAGAGATTGAACAATGTGGAGATTTGGAGCTTGAATCATTCCCTACCAAAGCATTCTCTACTCCTAAACTTGAATCCATCCATCTTTCTGGCTTGACCCATCTGAAGTCACTTCATGAAGACATGCGTACACTTCTTCCTTATGTCCATTCTCTATCACTGTTTTGCTGCCCACAGCTGCACTTAGTTCCTCTGAAAGGATTGCCTCTGAGCATTGTCCAAATTTCAATCCATAATTGTCCCAAACTTTTTGCTTCTCGCATCAACTGGGGCTTGAGTAGACTTCATTCTCTCCAAAAGTTCTCTATTGGTGGAAGTTTTGAAAATGTGGAGTCTTTCCCAGAAGAGGGATTGCTGCCACCCAATCTCAAAGTTCTTAGATTTGAAGGATGTTCAGATTTGGTCAAACTAAATAGCAGTGGCTTTCTCCCTCTCACATCTCTTCAATGCCTAAATCTCCAATGCTTGCCAGAGGAAAGTTTATCGAGGTCGCTTTCCCATTTATTTATTAATGGGAATTGTCCATTTTTGAGACAACGGTACCAAAAGAATGGACAAGAGTGGCATAAAATTTCGCACATCCCTTGGCTTTGTATTAGCTAAAACTTCGTTCCAGGAGTTCTCTGTGCTTCTAAAGCCCTTATAGATACTTCTTTTACATTATACTATTATCCAGTTTCATTTATTAAGTTTTCACTTTTTTTCATGTAAAGGCATCCTTTTTTTTTCCCCCTAGTTTGTTTACGTGATTAATTATGATGCGATCTCATTCTTTTATTTTTCTCCTTGTGCAGAAATGCTAAGCCAAATATAATGGATCTGATCTCATCCTCACCTAAAATCTTGTGCGCAGAACCACATGCTTGAAGCTTCCACCATCCACTCACGTATAATATTCTCTCTTAGCCCTCTGCAGCACCTTGTGTTGTTAATCTTAGTCATTGTCTTCGTCTTCCTCAGCATCTGATGGCATTTCTGTAGAAAAGTTGTCAAAAGTACAGATGAACAATATTGCTCTTACTTGGTGGTTATCTACTTCAGTTTGGTCCTTCTTCAGCTCTTCAACATGAGAGCAAGAAAGGAGGACCCATCATTTTCCATCAGAGGGGTGCGATTACTCCTCTGTGCTCTTTCTCATTATTGTTCTGTAAGAGTATTCCTTTCTTGAAAATGAAATTTTTCTCCGTTTGGTTTACTTTTCTTGAGTTCTGATTTCTGAGATAAAATTATTTCTAGTTTGAAGAATTTGATAGTAAATACTGGAAACCTATGGTTTTTGTTTTCATTTATCAGAGAATAAAAAGCTTCCAATCTGTGATAAGGATATTGTGACTATTGCAAGTATATGAATTTGCTAAATGAGAATTAAAACCTGACTAACACAGTACAGGGCTAAAATGAATAGGGAATAAACACAGTTGCCTAACATATTGAAATTTCACCTTCAATCATGCCTGCGGATTGAATCATGATCAATCACCATAGAAAATTTTCCTCTTTGATTTTTCTTTTTGTTTGGTAATCTGTTGGAGGGTGTGGGAAATTTTGCATATTTTCTTTCATTCCTTGCACTGGCTTTTGAAAATGTGTGAAAGTGATGAATTAATTGACCTTGATGTTTTGCTTATTGCAGGTAGCTTATGGTCCCCATCCTGTTTAGAATTTGGTTGGTCATATTGCACTCTGGCATTCATTCTATCTGTGAAGGAGGATGATATCATATGGCACAAATCAAGGTTTTTGTGATATCAATTAAATAAATGATCAATTACCTTCAAAAGTTTCTCTTCTTCTAGCCTCCAGTCTGTTTCTTCAAATGAAGCTTAGCTGATAAACCTTTTAATTTAATTATAGCTGCGATTAAACCCTACTTCTTTTATATCATACGTTTACTTCTATTTTATTTTATCTTATTTTTGTGTTTGAATCTGAGGTAAAACCACATAGCTGGTCAATCAATGTTGGAACAGGTGAAAAACTGGCTCATGGCACTCAAAATATTGAAATTTGTGAATTAGTTGCTCGTGATCAGAGGTCCTATAGTGCTTTTTGTCTCCTGTGGCTTGGTTTCTTTAACAGTGGTATATATTCCACAACATTGCGAAAAGAAATGGATAACCAATGTATGCCAAAAAAGTAATTCTCAGTAGTATGGCCCAAAAGCGTGAAACTAAAATGATTATATTGTTCTATATGAATCTTTCCTGAAAAAAGTTCTATTGCTTTCCGTAATTTCTTCATGAAATGTCGTCCTGCTAAAACTGATATCTGGGCTTTTAGGATTCGTTCATTTTTCATGAGGTCTGCATTTACGGAAAAAGTCACTGTTCAATGGTGAAGACCCTGTATTTGTCTGCCAACATACAAAATTTTTTAACTTGATTCTTGAGCTTGGGTGGCTTTTATCTTAATGTCTCCAAATCCATTACAAATAAATTTTGTAGAAATTAAAAACCCAATATTTAACCGATACGTGCCTATGAAGTTTTTCCCAATGGTAATGTATGAAAATATGAAAGTAAGCTAAATTACATTATTCTATATGACTGATTCCTGTAAAGAATTTCGTTACTTTTTACAATTCCTCACGCTGGGCTATTGGGATTCATTCATTTTCATCATGTCTGCATTTGTTTTATTAGTCTCCGTTCAGCGGGGAAAATCAATATTTCCATGGTTTGATTCTCAATTCTGGATGGCCTTCATCTTGACGTCTTCAATTTGGATGAGAAAACCTTTATCTGGAACCAAAAATCTTCATGTAATTCTTGACACTATATATTCTCAAACAACAGGCTTCATTATGTAATTTATTGAACTGAAAATCTTCATTCCTGGCTTTCAAGTTCAACGCTGTGGTACTAAATCATCTCTTAATCTGCTAATTTTCTAGCAGTTGGAAATGTTGAAGAACAATGCTACTTGTAATCAGAGCAGAATTATGCTCCATGCTGCAACGGCCAACAAATGTAGTAGTCACGCCTTTCCTTTTAGTACTACTTGTACTGATGCTGAGAAATTGGGCATTGTGAGGTCCAATAATAGGCCCTGAAGGATGGAGAATCATGGAGTCTGTAGCATACGCACTATGTGATGCACAGTGTGCCTTTTGTGCAATATGATGATTATTGTTCGATACTTCAATTGAATTTTTAACGTCAGCCTTATGGTAAGATTTTGGTAATGAAAAGAACAGCAACATGTTCTCCACTTTCTCTTTTTCCTCCTCCATACTTTTTTGCATCAACTTCCCCTATAACGCTCACTAAGTTAGGCACACGTGAAAATTCTTGTGGTAGATCATTAAGAGATTGTAAATTGTTGTACTCCCTCCTCTAAAAGTATCAGAATTGATTCTGCTACTTCAGAACCAGCTGGGATTTATAATTGCTGGTCAGTTTGAAACAAGAACCAAACAACTGGTGAATTAATTGAGAATAAATGGTCTTTTGCGGCATGCTCTGTTACGTGTTCATTAATCATTTGTTATGTTTACCGAAAAATATAATCCACGGCAAAGCTTATTCCTTCCTTAGCTTCTCCTATAATAAGGTGGCTTTTTATTTTGTATGCCTCTTTAAAAAATTTTTTTGATTTAAATGATTGTTTGCACATTTTTTTATTAAAAAATTAAATAATTACATTTGCATTATCGGTGATTACAAATATTTTTTACAAAATTATTATTTTATCAAATATTTTTCTTAATTGTTTTTATGTGTTTTCCTCGTACCTTTTATTTTTTTTATTTGTAAATAAAGGTGATTGTTTATTGTTATTTCATTAGTTGGCATTCAAAATGGATTATTTTATTATTTTATTTTCTTTTTATTTTTCCCCATTCGTTCGTTCAACTAAGAAAAAACATTTCATGTCACATCAATCATTTTTTTTTTTGATGAATCACATCAATTATAATTTTAAACTGTAAAGTTTCAGTTGCTCTCATCTCTTTTTTATTTTTATCAATGTGCTTTCAATCATCAAAAACATGACTTAAACTGTTACATGGAAAAACCAACGAATTATATGCATGAATTTGAAAATTATGTTTGCTTAAAAAGTATCTAAACATCGCAACATAACGTTGATAATATGAGTTGGGCAGTGCGTTTTATCACCTCTACTCATATACAGCAAAAATAATTATGAACTCAAAACCAAAAAGTTCAAACATCTATTAGGAGAAATGTTCATATTCAATACTCAATAATGCTTTAAATATGATTGCCTCAAGAAGGAAAAAACCTGTGCTTGCTAAAAGAAAACTAGATCTCAATTGCCACCATCCTGCAACCCTATACTTGGTGTATTTATGAGCGAAATTTTTCTACGAGCTAGCGCAATGGATCTTGGTAATACTGAGAAAGAAGATTCGCCTTAGCAGGAGAGTCTACAAAACCGGGGATGTATAATAACTTAGTGGAGGATCTGCCATATGTTCAATATACAGGCTTTTAGTGATAAAAATTTAGTCATATTCCTTCTTACTCTAATTGTCACTACTAAGATGGCGTTTAGGATATTATTTTTTGCACTACAAGCTCTCAAAATTTCGGATACCTGAAACTATATTCTCGTTTGCTTATTTTTCATGTTTTTTGAGTCAAGAAACCACATAATGTCATAGATCTGTTTGTAAAATTTTTGTTATTTTCCTCGTTAGTCGTATCAACTTATCTAATAGGTATACTTCTCGGCGTCTATATTCGTGGGATGAATCAGGTTACTCATGCCCATCATCAAGAATAGAGCCGCAGAAATATTGTACACGAAAAAAATAAATAAATAAAAGGAGAAAGTTATAAGACTAAGATGAAATGTCTTGAGAATAGTCTCGTCTCATATTGAAATGATTCGGTTTGAGATGGATATCAGACTAGACACCCCTAATTTTAAATTCATAATTGATATTGTCATATTCAAGGGTGTTTTATTTGGGGTCATAATTGATTTTAAAATGTATAACTGTATTTGAATATTTTTTCAAGAAATTCATGGTTTTCACACTTATAATTATAGAGCACTTCTATCTATTAACAGCTATCCTTTTATGAGCATTCTTAAAATCATGGACAACTATAGAAAGGGCCACGTGACAAGATAAGGATCATTCCATTCAGAACTTAGCAGTACCTAATTTGTTCAGATTTGTCCTAATGAATTTGGTTCTCATAGTAACATAAGACATCGTAATGCAAAGGAAATACTCCTCCTATCCTTAATATAAGACCCATTTAACTAATTTGATTAGATTAAGGAAGTTAGATAAGTTAGTTAATTATGACATATTTTTCCTAAAATACCATAATCATCTTTCTTAATACCCCTCTCCTTCTTCCATTTGATTATGGTTGAGGGAGTATACATAGGGGTAATTTAGAGAAAATTGACAAATATGAGAAATGGGTCTTATATTTATGACCAAAACCAACTCAAGAATTGGGTCCTATGTTAAGGACCGGAGGAGTATTAAACTATGCAATGACAGGTTTCAAAGGACTCAAGGTGCCCACACTGTTGATCTAGGACCACTTGTCATTTCTTTTCTTATCATTTTATATCTTATTCCACTATTTCTCTACTTCCAATTATCTATAACA